TATTTGACCCCTTGTTCTCTAACAACATCTCAAACGCCTCTTTTCATAATCCTTCATTGTTGGTAGAGAACTAACCGTCATTCTGCACGTCCCTTTCCCTTCAATCTACCTTTTGGAATAAGTAATGTATGCAAGATCACTCTTCGACATCTTTGGCTGGATAATACTACTTTCGGGCTTTTCAAAGAGCGAAGAGGGATTTCCAGGGGCTGCGATCGCCGGATTGAGATCGAGTTTTTGGTTGTTTTGTGAGAACTGCATGGCCAAGCCATTCATGTTAAACATATACTACTTCATACTGTTTTCCCCGGTTTTGATCTACTTAGTGGAAGAGCTTCTATAAACGTACATAGTTACCAATGCTTGGTTATAATTCTAGTTTGGCCTTCGCGTCCTCCTCCTGGGCATCGATCGTCCACCACGAGCGGCAGCTGCAACTGAAATCTGTTTTGTACTGACAGAGATCCAGTGAATGAAGAAGCCAGGACGCATGTTGGCCATTCTCATAAAGACGTTGGATATGCGAGGACCAGTTTCATGGACCAGCTGCCTTTGAGATGGAGCCTATCTACACATATAGCAAGTTTGAAAACACTGCCGTGAAGGAAATATTTACTTACAGCAGATGCAATACACTCAAAAGTAATTCAACTTATCAAGAAGATCATGTTCAGTCATAATGTAAGGACGTTGGCTTCAAAGAGCTGGACAGCTGGTACCCTAACGAGCAAACTTTGAGAAACCCGGTACGTCAACTCATTTGTCGATTTTAGGTTGGCAGGCGGCGGCAACAAATACTGAAACACATAGCAGAAAGCCAAGTCCTTCGACTCTAGGTGCATTAACACAACATTGTAAGCACCGATGCGAAATATCTACCAGTTTTGCTCGGGATCTACCTACAAGGTTGCGTTAACGGAGCTAAGCAAGTAATTTATTATCACATGTCCTTCTGTTCGACAAGAAGAAATAAATTGCTGGATATTTTCCAATAATACATGGTTTAAAGTATAGCCACCTTGAAACACTGCACCGTAGTCTTACAACATAGCCTTGGGGAAGTTCCTCATGGCCTGTCTCACACCGAGATCTGCCAACACTTCCTCGGCACCGCCGAGAATGGCATCGAACTTGTATGTTCGGTGGAACATCTCGATAAACTTGCCCATCCCAGTCTGGGTAATACCACGGCCACCCCAGATCTGCACGGACTCGTCGGCAACTTCGTGGGCAGCACGAGTGGCGCTCATCTTGAGCAGACCAATAGGGCCGGCAAGGTGCTGTGCTTGTTGTGAGTAGGGCATGTGGCACATTTGGTAGGTGACGGTTTCGAGCCATGACTGGTTGGCTTCGATGAGCGCGATCATCTTTGCGAGTCTGGACGGTGTTAGGAATTGAGGAAATATGGAGGGTCTAGGAGAACTTACTTCTGGCGGATGACGGGCTGATCAATGAGCGACTTGCCGAACACTTGACGTTGATTACTCCACTTGAGACACTCCTCAATGATGGATCGTGACAAACGAAGACTTCCGCCTATTGAATAGAGGTTAGTTCTGATCTGAATGGTTATACCGTAGCTGGGAGGCGGTAGAACTTACAAACCATGTACCATCGCTCGTGGTTGAAGTTGCTCAGAATGACCTGGATACCCTTGTTCTCCTTGCCCAGCATGTTCTCGGCGGGGACCTTGACGTTGTCGAATGTCACGAAAGCTGTACCAGCTGTTGTAGAGTAAGAGGTCTTGATCTGCTTGGTCTCAACACCCTCGCCACGCTCGATAAGGAAGACACTCAAGCCCTTGTCGGTTCGGGCACCTGTAACGAAGTAATCGCACCATACACCGTTGGTGATCCACTTCTTGGTACCGTTGATGATCTAGGTAGTTTGTGTGAGCGCTTCATCTTTCATCTCCAAGCAGCAATTGACTTACATAGTGCTTGCCATCGGGTGTCTTCTCAGCAGTTGTGCGTAATCCAGCGACATCTGAACCAGCAAAGGCCTCGGTGATGGCGAGACAGATCTTCTTCTTGCCGCTGAAGACCTCGTTGGCAATCTTGTTCTTCCATGCCTCGTCGCGGGCGAAGTTGAGAACCGCTGTCAGTCCAATAGTCATGCCCGCCATGTTCCCATCAGCGAAACCTCGAGCCATAGCTCGCGCAAGCTCCTGTGCCACGATCAAGTCATGGAAGTAGTCGAACTCCTCACCCTTGACGGCGCCTCCCATGAGATCAACACCGTGGAGATGCTTGCCAGGCCCGATACGCATGTGTAAGATGCCCAGCTCGCTCATGCGATCAATCATCTTCTGGCTAATGTATCGTCCAGTCGCCTCGCACTCTTGCGCCTCCGCGTAGAGCTCACTATCGACGAATTCTCGGAGCTTGCGCTGCAGCCGCCTGTGGCTGTCCTTGTAGTAGGGTGAGCGGAAGGGCTCAGCAAGCCATAGAGGCTCGGCGTAGGGGACCTTGCTGAGGTCACCAGGCTGTGGGGTAATAACCTGGGGTTTCTCGCCCTCGATGGTGCCAACGGCGAGGTCCTTATACTTTGTGAGAACTTCATGTCGGTGGAGATTGTAGAAAGCGGTCGTGGCATCTTGACCGGCGACTTGTTTTAGGACAGTCTCACCACCGGGATGAGCGTCGACAAAGTCTGTGAGATCGTAGACCGTGCTATCGATGATGCACCAGAGAGACTCGTCGGTTGTATGGGAGCGGACCTCCTCGCGGGAGAATGTATCTGTAGGAGAGCTCATGGTTGTGGTTTGGAATATTAAGGCGAGGCGAGATATCGCAAGAGTATAGAAGAACAAGTGAGAAACAGAGTTGAAGTTGAAGTTGAATGGATGGAGTTTGGCTCGCTTTAGCTGTTCTCAAGCCCTCAGACAGACACTCACACATTACCCCAGACGATGGATGACCTTGAACCTCGGCACCGACTAAGTGGGCCTACTGTGATGAAATACAAAGTCTCCCATTGGCTTCAGCGGCATGACTTCCATTTTGTGGGGGCGGGGCCGACGCATTTGCACATGATGGAATGGCCTGAATCTTGACCAAAAAAAAAGGTAAGGCATAGATAGAGGGTCACTGAAGTTTGGGTCTTTCCTCGGGCAGCTCGGTAGTGAAGCTCGACAACTCCTTACCAGTAATAAGCGAGGTCTCTACCCGCGGCTTGTTAAAAGCCCATCACCGTCCTTCTCTCGAATGGTCTGATGTTATGGGGCTTGAGCTTCATTACACGAGGAACTTGGAACTTAGGAACTGTCGTTAACTAACACTTGTTAGGATCTGCTTGATCCCCTAGGTATTTTTTTTTTTTTTTTTTTTCGCAAGAAATCATCAAGAGACTATACATGTTCCGCTCGTCTGATTTCATTCCTGATTGGCTACTAAAAGGCGACGCAGCTTAAGCACTCGAGGGGACTGTGCTGAGTTTGCTCATTACAAGCTGCTCAACTCCATCCTTCGAAACCTGATAGTCGCTATAGCATCTTCTGACTCGCTCTCATTACTCAAGCAACAAATTGTCATCAAGGACAATGCTTCCTGAATTGGTATCTCTATATCCTAAACTCCGTACCGCTTAGCTCAACCTGACCAGGGGCTTTGGGTATTTGGACCGGACGGCTTGACAGCCTCATGGGTTCGTAGGCAAATCCTTCGAGGACTTACTTTCGAGAATTCTTCTATCTTGCGATAATGTCAACGCTTCATAGACGGATGCCAAAATACGAAGCAGGCAATCAAGTTTCTTGCCCTTTGCGACGAATCGCGTTAGTCATGGCCCCACGCCGCTAGAAGCCGATGAAAGATAAAACTTGGGATTGCCTCAAAATCTTCTCCTCTGAGCCTGAATGTATTCTTTTTATGTTGCATAAGCTCTTTGAAGAGTAATGCGATATTCCCTCTTTCATCCTGCTCTATCTCGCTTGCACCCTCGATTCTTACTCAAGTAGGTATCAGTCCAGTCAGTCTTAGTTCTCACCCCTCGTTTTTCTCTTATCACTTTGCCTCGCTCTTACATGACCCTGCTTGCGCTCGACTCAAAACCTATGAACCGCTTTTACAGCCGCCGTTTCTCTGAACTAGTCTGGCTTGGCAAACGGGAGGATCCACGATTTGAATCTGGATCTGCACAGGCCTTTTGAGGGGCATCTTGGTTCTATATCAAAACGACGGGTCTTGTCATATCCCATGTTCCCATGAGCAGCAGTTCAGAGCGGCCATTGGCTTGGTTATTTGCGGGCTTTTCTTTGTGTATCTTCACTCTCAGTTTATTGCTCTTTTGCGAACCCTGGGCCTGCATCCGTGACAGCCATGCCCATGCCCGCCTCACTTTGGTCTTTTGCATACTGCCGAGCCTCCTTATCAAAGAGGTTGCTCCAATGGCGATGTGAATAAGTCGAGTTTAAAGCTCATGCTAAAGCACCGAGGCGTGCATGGCGGCGTCTGCCCCTGCGCCCGCTTCTCATCGGTTTCGCCAGTTGACACCAGGGTTTTGTCCTTATTGATGTTTCGCGATTGGCTCTTCTTCGTTATCTGAAGTTTGCAAACCGCTCGGGTTGCCGCAACTATCTCCAACTAGGTCATTGGCTAGAAATTGCCTTGATCTAAACATCGTAGGAGCTAACACACCCGAGACACCACACGGTCATTCCCTCCCTCCCTCCATTGTGCGGTGGATATATTTCCCTCGTGATCGTCATCGTCACGGTATCTAGCCTGTTAAGAGTTGTCATCTATTCTCAGGGAACTTTAGTGGCCAAAGGCCTTTTTGCCTGACATGACTTTGGCACCTGGTGACCTCCTTGTCAACCGTTGAGGCTTATATCCCTCCGTTCTGGGCTACATCTGTATCCCCCGCCCTATCATACCCTTCTTATATCTCCGTATCTCGATCCTGTTTTCTACTGGAAGTCCAGCTATCCTTCTTTTACCATTGCTCTACATCCATTCCTAAACGCATATCTTTCGACCATACATCTTGAATATCTCAGCATGGATGCTTACTCGATATGTTGCACTAGCCCTGCCGCTAGGCACACATCCAAGATCTACCAGGATCTCTGGTCTACCCGTCCACATACTCGGGTTGGGTATGATCAAGATAAGATCTTGAAGAAATTGATCACCATGGATAGTTTGAAACAGGTATGTACAGAATTCGCACCAAACATGCCGTTGTTAAATGTCTCATTTTGGACGCCACTTATGGCTATTCAACTATTCAACGGTGACAGTTTCATTCTCAGCCTCTTGCACACCTTGAAGCCAATGCTGATTAAGAAGCCTACAGCGTTGGGGTGGTGATCAGACCTCAAAGCCACACATTGGTGTAATCGGTGCTGGTCTTGCTGGTCTTCGGTGTGCAGATATTCTCGTTCAGAATGGCTTCAGAGTCACTATCATTGAGGCTAGGAATCGAGTTGGTGGCCGCTTGCATCAAGAGGTCCTTCCAAATGGCCACTTGGCTGATGTCGGTCCCAATTGGATTCATGGAACCAACGACAACCCAATGCTAGATCTGGCCAAGCAAACGAATACTGCCATCAGCGACTGGGAGTCAACGTCTTGTGTCTTTGACGAGTCTGGCGAGCTCTTGTCCCTCAAAGATGGTGAAAAATACTCCACTATCATGTGGGATATTATCCAGGACGCCTTCAAGCACTCCAATAGCAACTCGTCAGCCATCGATTCGAAAGAAAGTCTTCACGACTTCTTTGTTCAAAAGGTCGCGGAGAGGGTGCCTGATACTGAAGCCGACCACGAAAGGATACGAAGCATTGTCATGCAAATATCTGAGATGTGGGGTGCTTTTATCGGAAGTCCTGTCTATAGACAAAGTCTGAAGTTCTTTTGGTTAGAAGAGTGTATAGAAGGAGGTATGTTGAGTCCGAACTTAAATGAAAACGATCATCTAACTCGAACCAGAGAATCTATTTTGTGCCGGCACATACAAGAAGGTTCTTGACGAAGTTGCGAAACCCGCTCTTGGGGGAGCCGAGATCAAGTTCCAGACCAAGGTAGATAGGATATCATATCGATCAAATCCTGAGGAAAAGGCCAAGGTCACAACAGAGAGCGGCCAGACACTCGAGTTTGACGAAGTTGTTGTCACTGCACCCCTTGGCTGGCTGAAACGAAACCTTGACGCTTTTGAGCCTGCGCTACCTGCTCGAATGACCAAGGCAATCGATGCCATTGGTTACGGATGCCTTGAGAAGGTCTACATCAACTTTCCCAACCCTTACTGGCTCGGTACAGAAGGTAGCAGCCGAAAAGCAGAGGGTTTTGTGCAATGGCTCTCACCAAATTACGTTCCTGATCTGAACCCGAGACGATGGAATCAAGAGGTCGTGGAACTTGCTAGCCTGGACCCAACAGTTTCACATCCAACACTTCTCTTCTACACATACGGCGAGCAGTCGCAGTATATTACGAGCGAGCTACTGAAGATACCGGATCCCCAGAAAAAGGATGCGTTCCTCCTCAACTTCTTTAAACCATATTACTCACGACTTCCGCATTACTCGGATAGTAACCCTGACTGCAAGCCGTCTGGCTTTATGGCTACAGATTGGCTTCACGATGAGCTGTCAGGATTCGGAAGTTATAGTAATTTCCAGGTTGGTTTAGAAGAAGGTGATGCTGATATCCGGACAATGCGAGAGGGTTTGCCGGATCATGGATTGTGGCTGGCAGGCGAGCACACTGCGCCGTTTGTTGGCCTAGGCACGGCGACTGGAGCCTACTGGAGCGGTGAGGCTGTTGGTAAGAGAATAGCGGAGGCTTATTATGGACGATCCAAGTAAGTAAGGGGCCTCTGAAGACATGATGGTTTCTTCAGTGAGAAGAGACACCGTCAATCGTTTGTGGTTAGGGTAGCAATAGACAAGATGCCTAAAACGGCCGTTAAAGAAATCTTGGCAAGGGTATGCGCGTGATAAGCAGTGAATATGTCGTTGTCTCAGGCTATCAAAGGGACTGCATAGAGATCGACGATGCATTTGTTTGAGGTGAAGTTGCAGCAGCCTTGACTCACCCGATTTACCCAAAACAGCAAAGGCAATCTTTCGCAACAAATCGTGTCAGAGCAAACCACGTCACAGTTGATCAAGACATTGATTGTAGTATCCATGACGCGGGCGGCACACAATTTGATCGATGGTGCGCCGACCTTATCGATTGAGTTCCCCAATTTACAGTAGAGTAGAGGCTGCGCGAGTCGTATCACCCACTAAAAGCGCAATTCACGGGTCAAATGACGCCCAACGAGATGCCCCCGGGAGATACATGATGGACCAGCTGCTTTGGTGCACCGCTCGAAACGATCCTTGAAATCGAGTCACGAGCCTCATGTGTTAGTGTTTTAGCGCCTCGAGGGGCGATAGACAGGGTCTCTTCCAGGCCTTCTACCGCCTGTAGCTCGCATGGATTTGGCGGTAGAGGGTCCACTGGAGGTCTATCTCCCCCACTCGCCCGCGCGTTGCCGTCTCAGCGATGGTCCATGCCCATGCAAGTCGTGACTGTGTGACGCTGTCTGTGACGGTGACCCGACTCTTTGGGAAGTATGCCTCGACCGACCTTACTTTATTACGGTTCTTTTCTTTAACTCAACTCAGATTTGTATCAACCAAACCTTTTCAGCCTCGTTGGTGCCTTACCCTTAACTTCTGCCACGATTCACATTCCCAAACTTAATTAGTTTACCCGACCTCTTACAGCTTCTTCTCATGGCCTTCATCCATTCCCTCTAAACATGTTCTACGGCCCCGCATCTGGCCGGGGTCCTCAAGCTACCGACTGATAGACGCCGACGTAGGCCTCTGCCTAGTAGACAGCAGCGATACTCTGTCGATAACTTGCACCATTTCGATAGTCGATATTCATCTGTCGTCTTCTATCATCCTTCCCTCTCGGGCTGCGTGGGCAGTCATCGCCACTCCGCCGCCCATCGACTCGATCGCATCCCACGAAAGACGACATCATGGCGACCCTCTTCCAGTCTTTCCGGAGCTCCTCTATGCCAAAGAGGTTGCTACGATATGCCCTTTCTCGACTGGAACTTCTCGACGCCGAGGCTCTCGATATTGATAATTTAGATTTGGCGATAGGGAGGAATACAGTCCTCGAATTTCGCGATGTTGGCATCAAGCTAAAGGTAGGTTTAATGACCGTGCATCCATCAACGGCTTAGAAGATCATGGTCACTGACGCTCTGCCATAGAAACTCAACAAGCTGTTGCAGCTTCCAGACACATTCAGGCTGCAAAAAGCCAAGGTTTTGCTTCTGCGAGTCACTATCCCGATGGACTTCTACACAAGCCCTATAATAGTCGAGGTCGACGGTGTTGATATTGCGCTGCAAGTCATAGGCGCGGAATCTAAACCGCCTCGTTCATCAGGCACCAGAACACCCGAAGAGGCCACCACTGTACCGAACACCGTCGACCTTGCGCAATCATTCCTTGAAACGCAGCCACGATCGGAGCGAAGGAAACTCGAGGATGCTTTGGCCGCCGAAACTCAGGATCTTGGCGCTTCCATCGCTATGAGCGATGATGGCAGTGAAGACGATTTGGCATATGGAACAGGCCAAGCCCTTTCTCTCCCCGCGTTTTTGGCCGACTTTTTGCAGGGCATCGTCGACCGGACGCAGGTAAGGATAAAGGGTGTTAATTTTCAGCTGGACGTTGAGGTGCCTGTTGAACCAAACACCACTACGACTGAGTTGGTGTCTTTTCAAGTTGCACTTGAGGGCATAGATGTCGAAGGTGTTACCACGGCGTCTGATAACGCTCAAGGGTCTCCCACCATTGTACCAAAGGAGGGCAAGCGTCATGTTTCATTGTCAAACGTACGGGCGTACCTCATTTCAGAAGCAAATGTCTTTTCTGCATTGGCGCGATCGCCTTCCGTCACTTCGCCATCGCTTGCTTCTTCTCCAGCTATGACTAGGAATCCGCCGTCACGCCAGACTACTACACTTTCATTGAGCAGCCTTCACGAAGAATCCGCGACATCATCGCAGGGAAGCATACGATCAGAAGTGCAAGAATCTTCGCCACGGCCAGCTTTTTCGCAAGTAGAACCCTCAGTTCTTTCGCAACATAGCATCGATCAGCGTCTCACGGATTCACACCAGAGTCTTCAGTCCGATAATTCTTTGGCTGGCTCACAGCAGAGCCTCAGAGACGAATACCCCATCGATCACGAGTCTCCAGAGCACGAATATCCTCTTGGAGACAGTGAGGACGCACTTGGAATCCCTTACGAATTCTCAAGCCCTCAGGATGATGATGCAGAAGATAGCCCCGTAACCCCCCGGGCATCGATGTATCACGATTTCAGTAACAGTCCCAACGACGAACCTGTATTTCACTCAACCTTTCTTCCTGGAGAGCCTGGCTCTCATTCAACAGCGCTGGAGAATGAGAGACCTCAGTGGACGATCGCAGAACGAGAAGCCAGGTCTGCACCTACACTCGAGACGCCAGCGACACAAGGTAATTTGGAAGCTTCTAGGAGGGGTGTTTTGAATGAGCACCTCAGTCGGACTTCTTCAAGTGAGAGCTTTGGTGCGAGATCGGCCGAAGACCTGGCACAGTCTCATATGTACACACATGAAGAAGCAGAGAGCATGTACATGAGCGCTTTCTCACAGACTAACGCTCAATCAGCGGCCTTTCTGCCACCAGTTCCTTCTCATGGCCATACACCTTCACCGAAACCCCAAGATGACTTGATCGAAGAGGTGGAACAACTTCCTGGGCCAGCTAAACCTGTTGAGCCAGTCGAGGCGGCAGTAACTCCACCTACGACGGCGCATACACCTGTGGCAAACGAAGAGCGTGAGCCAGACACCATAGATACAAAGCCCGACATGTCAGAAGCGATTCCTCCTCAGACATTAGATGCCAAGCCTCCGAGCCCAGATCTACAAGAGGCTTCAGCCACTATACCATTAGAACAAGAGTCGAAGCCTTTCATTCCCGGCGCTTGGGAAGATGACGACGACGAAGATGATCTTTCAGGGAATGCCATAGCACCATCCACTACCTTGAGACACTCGATGTATCGGAAGGATGATACCTCACTCTCACTGGATGCCTCAGATAGCGAATCTTCAGAACCTGCATTTTCAAGGGCATGCCTTACTGATGCTGAGCCAGAAAATCGCAGTACGCCTACCAGACAACAGGAAGGTGCTGCTACTCCCAAAGGACCAACGCGTCTAGTAAAGGAGATTTTAAATCTGAAAACCATCTCGATATATATCCCATCACAACACCAGCATTTGCATGTTCAGCCTGTATCACCAGAATCTATAGCCCAGCTCTCGCAGTCAATGGGACGGTCTACATACCCTCAAGCTCCAGGTGCTTTTTCAGTGCATGGCGGGGCTTCCACGCAACAGAACAAGGCAGCATCAGGAGCGTCGCAAAATGACGAAACACTAGAGGTGAACCTGTCGTCCATTAACCTTAAATTCGACGCTTCGTTGGGTTTCTTACTAGCGATGGTTGTTGGAAAGCTGCTGGATGCTGTGAAAGACAAGAATGCGCCCCCAGTTGAGAGCACAAAGCAGGAGACTAGTTCAAAGAAGATGCCCAACCTCAAAATAACATTGGAGGAGATCAAACTCGACTTTATCAATCGCTTGGGAGGGATCTCAGATACACCTGAGCGTTATATGGATCTAGATCCATCGCCATTTTTCGACCAGGAAGTTCTACTCAACACAACCTTGCAAAACTTGACTATTTCCATCTCCGAGACTGAGATATCAACACCGCCAGTCATTAAGGGTAAATTAGCGACACAGCCAGCTATTCTGACCAAAATTGACTTGCAGAAGTTCCGCTTTGGGTATGCAAATGGCGACATCATATCCTTCGACAAGGGCAAACCCATGAGTGCATCTGTTAGAGAAACATTTCTATCGGCAGGTTCTGATATTGGAATCGAAATCCTTCAATCAGGCGACAAAACCAAGATAGATGTCCAGACTCTACCGCTGGTTTTCCAACTTGATTTGCGACGGCTTGACGAGACTTTCAGCTGGTTCGGTGGCCTTAGTAGTTTCCTTAACATGAGTGCTTCGATGGCTTCAAGCCCTGCACCAACACCCAAACCAGCTGCTCCCACACCAAAGCCTAGAGGGGTTCGATTCGATACTCCAGTTGATCCGAACGACAAATCCATGGCATCGCAGAATAAGATTAACGTGCGCATTGGAGGCTCTTACGTGGAGCTCATCGGCAGAGACTGCAGCATGCTGGTAGAAACTAGCTCCATTAAGGCTGTGAGCCGTGACGAGGTTATAGGATTGGGGTGCGGCATGGTTCGAATAACAGGGCCATACTTGAAGAACTCAACTGCAGATCCTCCTATCAACACGGAGATCACCACAGTTCGAGTCGAGTTCTTGACAACCCCTAACGATTCAGATCTCGAGAAACTCCTGGAGCTAATCATCCCTTCAAAGCATCAATTCGATGGCGATAACGACGAGATCATGGTTGATACTTTGCTGCGTCAGCGAAGGAAGGGCTCCGTACTCAGACTGTCGGTTGATGGTGTGAATGTTCGCGTTCAAAACATGTCCCAGCTTTCAGTTCTACCGAACCTTGGTGAGGAAGTTGCAAAGCTTTCTACAGTCGCGAAATACTTGCCTGAAGATGACCGACCCGGCTTATTGACCTTGGCAAAGATCCAAAAGGTTGCGCTGAGTCTAGACTTTGGTGGCAAGCTTGGCCACCTCGGTGCGGACATCAAAGATCTTCACGTAGGTCATATCACAGTCCCTTCACTTGTTGCCATAGCTATACACGATCTTTCCGTGAGGAGAAATAGGTCAGAAGAGCTGGTTAGCACGGCAGCATATGGAGTCAAGGAAATCTCGGTTCGTGGCCCTGTCTTGATGGCGCGGATGATTGGTGACGAGATCGAGCCTGTCATCAAGCTGAAGATGCAAGATCTGTGTATTGAGTACCGCGTCCCTACGATCATGGATATTCTCGAGCTTGGAGAAGATGCCACACCCCAAGATTTCGAAGCCAGCCTTGCTGCCTCGGTAGCAAACCTTGGTGACCAAGCGCATCATGCTTTAACTGGACAGCCTGGCTCTCCGAGTGACAAGAGCACGGGCGGGAAGCCTATGACTCTGGATATTGGCTTCCGAGATTGCCTTTTGGGACTGAACCCGCTAGGCCAACCCTCGAAGATGGTGATCGCTCTAACAGATGCTCATCTTGTCGCCGCGTTGCCCAAAGACGTGGAGACCAATGCTGTTTTCACCATCAATAAGTCATCCATATTGCTGATCAACGACATTGCCGAAGTTGCAACAAGCGAACTTCCGGCCACCCAAAGACCGCGCGCCTCATCTTCAACATCTCGTCAGGTAGTGGATATGTGCGCCAGAGGTTATGTGGACATTTGCTACATATCATCCGCCAAGCTTGTAGTCGATGTGAAGGAACTCGAGGATGGAGAGAAGCAACTTTGTGTTGAACTCAAGGATGACCTCCTTGTCCTGGAGACATGCGCTGATTCGACACAAACTCTGATCTCTTTGGCCAATGCGCTGAAACCACCAACTCCGCCGAGTAAAGAGAACAAGTATCTTACAGATGTGGTCCCCATGCAGGATTTGCTCGCTTCTATTTCGGCTGAAGCTTTCGGTAGGCCTGAGGGAGAGTACGATTTTGACCAAGACTTTGCTGGTGCTCAGGAGATGGCTGGGAGCGATTCAGAGGCCGACTTTAACACAGACAGCCCGCTGCAAGTCCAGTCACAATTTTATGACGAGGAGCCAGTCGCCGAGGAGCTTTTCGATGCCACGAGTAGCTCTATTATCTCACATGGGTCACATCGCTCTGGGCCCCAGATGAAAGACACCAATGAGGGTGTACTACTGACCGGGTTTGGCTCAGCAAGCCAGCAAACAGTTGACTCTGACGATCTTGTGATTCAGGAAGACTACTATGGCAGCGGTGCTTCAAAGGACAGCAAAGCCAGGATCTGGAATTCGAAGAAGAACAGCTATGATCGGGCGCCCGGCGACTTGGTGAAGCGCAGCCCTGTCAAGGTATCCGTACGAGATGTCCACGTTATCTGGAACCTTTTTGACGGCTATGACTGGGTTCACACACGAGATGTCATAACGAAGGCAGTTCAGGACGTTGAAGCCAAAGCATACGAACGACAAGCCCGTGCTGGCCAAGTCCAGGTCTATGAGGAAGAGCTCGAGGATGAAGAGGCTATCGGAGACTTTCTCTTTAATTCTATTTACATCGGCATCCCAGCAAACCGTGATCCCCAAGAACTGTCTCGAGCTATCAATGAAGGCCTGAACGACAATGCAACAGAGACTGAATCGGTTGCAACCACGGCTTTCACTTCTGCTACCAACAGGACAGCACGTGCTCGTCAACCAAAGTCGAAGCGACTTAAACTCAAACGCAGCAAGCATCACAAGATCACCTTCGAGTTGCGAGGTGTTGATGCAGATTTGTTTGTTTTCCCGCCAAATTCAGGGGAAACTCTCAACAGCATAGATATCCGCATTGACAACCTGGACATTTTCGACCACGTCCCAACCTCCACATGGAAGAAGTTTGCAACCTATGACCAGGACATGGGAGAGCGAGAAATGGGCACTAGCATGGTTCATCTTGAACTGCTCAATGTCAAGCCACAGCCCTCACTCGAGGCGTCTGAGATTGTGCTCAGAGCGACCTTACTCCCTTTGAGGCTGCATGTGGATCAAGATGCTCTTGATTTCATCACCCGATTTTTCGAGTTCAAGGATGACCAGGTGCCTGTTCACACGTCAAAAAGTGATGTACCCTTCCTTCAGAGAGCTGAGGTCAACAATGTAGCAGTGAAGCTCGATTTCAAGCCTAAGCGAGTCGACTATGCTGGTCTCCGTTCTGGGCACACCACTGAATTCATGAACTTCATCGTTCTCGAAGAGGCGAGAATGGTTCTGCGCCATGTCATCATCTATGGTATCTCGGGTTTTGAGAAGCTTGGTAAGACTCTCAACGATATCTGGATGCCTGATGTCAAGGCAAACCAACTTCCTGGTATTCTAGCTGGTCTGGCGCCTGTTCGTTCCCTTGTCAATGTGGGCAGCGGTTTCAGAGACCTTGTTGAGGTGCCTATTCGCGAGTACAAGAAGGATGGGCGCGTGATACGCAGTATATCGAAGGGTGCCACAGCCTTTGCTCGCACGACCGGTACCGAACTGGTTAAGCTGGGTGCCAAGCTCGCTGTTGGTACACAATACGCATTACAAGGTGCCGAGGGCATGCTTTCAGATCCTCAACAAGCATACGAGGGCTGGGATGAGGATGACATGGACCCTGAAGAACAGAGGCAAATCTCTCTCTATGCAGATCAACCTACGGGCGTCATCTCAGGCATTCGGGGCGGATACCGATCCCTTGCCAGAGATGTGAATCTCGTGCGCGATGCCATCATTGCAGTTCCTGGCGAGGTCATGGAGAGCTCTTCAGCTACTGGTGCCGCAAAGGCTGTGCTAAAGCGAGCACCAACGATCATTTTCAGACCTGCAGTCGGCGTCACTCGAGCAATCGGACAGACTCTAATGGGAGCCACCAACTCGATTGATCCCAACAATAGACGAAGAATTGAGGAGGTAAGTCAATGTGAGTTCGTTCCAACGAGCTTGACTAACAAACTGCCAGAAATACAAACGATACTAAGTCGCTTCGTCGGCTCGTTTAACTTATCCAGAACACGATACGAACGTGGGCAACATATTATGGCGCAATGATATTGAGATACCAATCACATCGGAGTATCACAGGTGTCTCTGATCTTCCGTGTCCTTTCCATCTTCATCTCGATGTTTTCCCATCAACTCTACATATAACGGTGCTCGGGCCAAAGGCATATTTTGTTCTTTAAGAGAGGGGCATGTCTCTGCATGCACTCGTCTGTGATAGATCGGTAAAAACAGGACATGCATTTAGATGCACAACATAGACCCTGGAGTGGACAGGCATGCGTTGATTGATTTTTCTTTTCACATTTAGCTAGGAGTTGGATTATTACTTTTTGGAGGGTTCTTTGTTTTATGGATGTTTCCTATTGTTGGGACTGGATCTACTACTATAGATACCTGTAACAGAATGAAAGGGTGGATTACCCAAAGCTTGTTGTTTATATTCTACATTCAACACCTGTGTATCCTTCAGCTCATTCGCATGAACTATCGCCTAGCCACAAACGCCATGCTCATAATACCATCACTGTCCCAATCTCCTTAAAAGCCATCGTCAGGGACGCCATTCTCCTTCTCCGACTCTTTTCTGACACGGTTCGCATCAACCCACCACTTGTGACTCTCTTCTTTACCCGTCCACTCACCCTTCTCGTTAATCTCATCCCAAGGTTTGGGGCTTAAGATATAGTGGATGTTCTTGACGCTCTCATCCCTCCAAATAGCATCATGGACTCCTTTCCATCGTAGCGTCTTGAGCGCGTTATAAATGTACGGCAAAGGAACCCATCGCTCACGATACAAGTCTGAGAGAAGTGACTGGTCTGCAAAATCCATATTGGCGGCGTCAGCTTCCATATGCGCCAGAATTTGCGCATAGAGGCCCTGAGAAGGATTGACGACCTGCAAACCACCGTTCATAAAGCCCAAGGGTCCGACTGAGGGATCAGCAGCCTCAGTTTGCGCGGCATCGGGATTCGAGTGTTGTGAGGTAAATGCACAATTCTCAGGAACCCAGTCCTTTGGGTAGTGAGGCTTTTTGAGGGGATTGCATACACAGGCATGACCGGCTGCAAAGACACGCTTGCTGACGGTCTTATCACCAGTCTCAGCAATCGAAGGAGGATCCAGCTCGAGATCCATCAGCTCGTCCATATTGCGCAAAACAAGCATGTCCGAGTCGAGCTGGACGACGCGCTCGTATTCAACCAAAGAGAAAGGCGCAAGCTTGCTCCAACAATCGTAAAACCGTGGGTCATTGGAGTAATCCTTGCCTTTAGTTGGTAGCAAGTATGGAATGTGCTGAACGGCAATGCCACGAGCACGGAGAGCTGCGTGACCTTCAGGTGGGAACGAATCGGTATACAACGCCACAAGAGGGTAGCGAGATTTGGCGACGCGAAGAGAATGTTCGAGGGTGAGAAGACCGGGCAAGTAATCCAGGTTCGTGATAAGACTCGTCCAGACTGAGATTGTGGGTTAGAACTTGTGCTGCGCATGGTTTGGCCTCTTTACCTTTAGGCGAGTCGACAGCTCGTTTCCGAGATTCTGAGTCTGTCATCTTGCGAAGCCTGAAGATTTGTCCTAGAAAGGTCTGTTGTTGTGTATTGCCTCCAAGCGATATCGCAAGAGTTAGTTGGAGTGGGGGAGGGGTAATAGCAGAATCGAGAATTGATAAGCAACAGTATATTCTCCTTGTGAACCCGGAAAGACGCTGGATTTCAATGAAAGGGTGAAAAAAGACAGATTCTGTGATGTTTTTCTACTTAGAAGTCATCTTCTCCCACTCTTGTACACAAAAAGGCGCATATCATGAGTCGTCGATGTCCAAATCTAGATGCTGTACCTGACGATGGCGGGGTATTTTTGGGGTTCTTCAGTGACGCCATTGACGATCTGGTCCGTAGCCTCGATTGGAGAAGAAAATGTAGAATCACAGATCCTGCAAATAATCAGGGACCAGAGTCAACAGTCCCGTGGAACTATTCATCCTTATTTCTTCACTTGAAGGATGTGGTTCCTATCGTTTCAAAAGATTTGTAGAGAGAGTTTCGCGTATGCAAAGCAGATGCAAGGCACAAAGTTTGAATCTAATCAATCGACGTCGCATAGGTAGCCCAAGCTGTCACGTCTTGATCGAACCTCGAATTCTTCATCATACCCTGTAGGGTCCAGTGCCATCATCATACCGCAGCCCAAGAGCATCAGATGTGACTCTTCCGTAATTTGTCTTCCGAATCGGACATCATGTCCGTCATGTTCTTCTTCTTGAACTGTTCGTCCTAGGCTTTCGGCCAGAAGCCGAGGTCCTGGACTAGAGAGCTGCCATATGTCCGATGACTGTCCTATGTCGGCCTGTCATGGTCATTGACGGCAATAAGTTCTTGGTCGTTACACGGTCATCCCTACTGAAGCAATCATGGGCTTCAGCCTGCAATTAGGTGCACCGATGACCTCCACCAACACAAGATAAACCCTCCGATGTTCAGAAAATGATAGACTGCAGCTCCGTAGCTGTTCGACGTCGAGAGACTGATATCGTATCCCGGCAACCTCTAGTCGTTATCTCACATTTGGGTTCATAGCAGTCCCTGACATTGACAACCAAAGACAAAGTTCCGAGATAACACAACGGTGCATCATGATAGGCATACAGCCACAGATTGATTGGCAGATCTTGTCTATGCTCAAGATGTAATACTGTGTCTGTTTTTGTTGAGCGTCGTCATGACCTCCTGGTATCAGCCCCTGAATCAACTCGTAATCGTGTATCTTCAAGAAACGTGAGGAAATCCGATTGCCTCTGTTTTCGGTCAAGCACATGGCTGTGACCTTGACACCGCCATCCTTGGAGAACTAGGGGCCCTAGCTAGGGGAGGAAAGAAAACACAGGACCTCGATCCCAAATGACAAAAAGAATGAGGGTAATATAGCCTAAGTTTAGGATGACTTTTGCTAAGTTTATTTTGATACCCCACAGCAAGGTTCGTTGTTTTCTTACCCCCGAGGCCTAGCTCTTACGGTGAGGGCAAGGTGAGGAAGATTTAGAGGCAGGCCCCGTTCAACAATTTTTGTTGACCGGCGCCGCCGTAATTCCAACAATAGCAATCGCCCCCTCGTTTGAGCCCCCATGGTCTAGGTTCTAGCTCTGTCTCATTTGGATTTGGCTCGAGAATTCCTTCTGGAATCCGAACTGTGCAGCTGAAATCAGCCGCCAGAGCAGCTCAACAATCTCAGACGCGCGCGAATCCCAATATTCACACGGTCTTCAGTTTATGCACGGGTCAGCCCAGGACCCAGGAGCAAGATCCAGTCTAGGCCTCGACTGTGTTTGCTCTTCGCTCTGATCAGTTCTTGTGACTTCCAGATCTTTCATCTGATAACATTAAATGCCGAACCTCTGACGTCGGAGGTTTTCCGTGCTCTGAGCCGAGGCAATTCAAAATCTCAATTCGCAAGAAAGGGATCAAGTATGGAGTAATTGCCGGTAGAAAGCCCAATCTAGGTGTAGGAAACAGGACTATCTGTTACGGAGTCCGCTCTGTCTCCCCGGCCCAAGGGGGACTTCTGACCTTCAAGCAACCGACCGAGTTGGCGGGTTTCTAGAAGTGGACCAGGAGACGTTTTACTCCCTGTTCACTGACAGCTTTGGGGGTGTCACGGGTCCTCTCCCGCTCTTCAGGCCTTGCTCAGTGCCGCTCTGCCATACACTAAATCCCTACCATGCCGCTTTAAGCTACACGATCAGCGTGATCTATAGTCAGAAACGCGAAGCGGAAAGTAATCAGTGGCTGGCTTCATTTCAAGAGATCATAATGATATTACAGCAAGATTGACTAAGACTATGTCTTGCGTAATCGGGTTCCGAACTTAACAGCAAAATGATCAACGCGTAACAAAAAGAGGCGTCTTCAAAACAGTGTATCCAGTACATACAGCTGGCTTCTGACCGCCCTGTTAATGCTAGATCAACAATTGGTTCAAAGAATGGCGATCTTGAGAGCGACAGGCACAATCCACGTGCGTCAGATCAGAGTCCCCTGCCGAGACTCGTCAGCAGCCATTGGAAATTGTTGGCTGTAGACGAAAGGTTGAGTGTAAGGCAGGGGGTGTTAAAGCGGCGTTGTTCTGTTCTGCAAACCCTTGGCCCACCTAAAGTTACAGCACCTAGATAGAGAGTACGTAGCTGCAAGCTCAACGAGTTCCACTCACGTATCTGTTTCGTTGTAGTGATGGTTTTGGAGGTTGTGAGGATGGTGCCATGTCGATTCTTCCGGCGGCACATTGCGACACTCTTTGCATAGCATTGCACACAGTATCTAAAGTTGTCGTAAGTTGGCGCCACTGTTCCTCTGATCTGATACTGTTATCTCTTCATAAAACACTGAGCCAGGCACAGGGTATTGATGTGATTGGCACCCATAGCTGTTTACCTCAACCTCGACTCTACTTCTCTCTTGATGTTTTCGGGCTTTGACGGCTCAAGCAAGCTATGATCCGATAAGTGATCGAGCTGGAAATCGACTTGAAGAAGCTCCATTGTTGCCTCCTTTCTAGCCCGGGGGTGGACCAAGGACCCGATTTCTCAGCAGAACGAAAGCTGGGGACGGCTACCTATCGTGAGGCTTGATGAGGAATCAGTAACACAGTGATACCCTCCCCATATGAGCTGACCTGTACGGTGAATGCTAAGTGCTGTACTGTAGTAGCCTGCGTATTTCAAGGCAATTGATTGGATCTCAACATGTATTTATTAGCAACCCTTGGTGTGTTTAATGATGTGCCACTTGCATGAGGGACCTTGTTCGCACCGGGCGGCATTCGGTATTTCGTCGCCGAGTCGGGAACTGCCATGATATTATGGTATGGTCATTGCTTTGCATCCTTGCTGATTTTGGTGCTGATGCCCATATTCCTTTGTTTGTTTGCAACGAAGCGGAAGAGATATATTTAGAGGTTTCTGACAGCGTGATATTTCGCAGCGAAGAGAGCGGTTTGAAATCCCATCAATCGTTACAATACCTGGAATGGATGTGCTGCAGGGTGAAGTTGTTTGACACAACCCTTCCTTCTGTTTCGGTTCTATCAGAAGCACCATCAGCTTCCGACTTGGACCTGCTCTCCACACTCCATTACCTTTAGCGGGATCAACGCTGTAGTCGCTAAAATAAGGTGAGCTAACAGGGCGGGATCGGTACCGTACCTTCCAAGGATGAGGTGTGGAGTCTGTGAGTGAGTCTTTCCTCAACCCGTTGCTGTTGCTGTTGCTGTTGCTCATTCCATCCCCAGATGACACGGGCCTCTCGGACAAGCATCCGCGCTTGCTTCACCTTGAGGTCAAGCTACCAGAAGCTCCCTCCCGCCTTCCCCTCCTCTAGCTTATCTTACCTTAGGTACCTGGTGTCTCCTGTCAGTCACACTTGGGATACATACATAAACCCTCCTTCCCTCCCTCCAATTGAACCATCCAATTGCTTCCATTTATACCTGTGCCTGCCTGTATCATCTATCCATTGCATCCGTGGACCCTCCACTCTTCTCATCGCCTGATTAGACTTGGTCACCGCTATCCGTACACTAAGGTACCCTACCAACCACACTCCATCAGATCCATTACCTATTACGCCAAACGTATAAGTAGCTGGACACCGCCAACACCTTCACCTTGCTACCACCACAACAAACTTCTGTCTTTTGTCACATCCAACTCTATCACAATGCCTAGAATCACCGCTCCCGTCTCAAAGCTCACTCGCTCTCTGGCCGAGTCTCAACGCCATGCCGGTATCGCTCTCATGCCCAAGTATGCCGAGCTCCTCGGAGCTTCTTCAGAGCAGTCCCAGCACTCTGAGGTAAGTTTCTACTCTTCCAATTAAGTAGCTATTGCAGCTCTTGTACTAACAATGCTTCCAGTCCCGTGGTCTCAAGACTACCCACCGCCCTACTCCTCAGCCATCTCTTTCTGGTCGCCGAAGGCCATTGATGCAGAGCTTCCATTCCTCAACCCCTTCTCGTGCTCCTGTCAACCATGTCGACAGCACCGTCTTGCCCAAGATTCATGCTACTCCCAACTTCAACGAGCCTCTCCCTCGTATGCCCCTTCTCCCTGACAACTATGGCGCCTACCACAGCTCAATGTCCGATGCCGCCGACTTGTATAGCAAGCGGCCCGTCATCTTCGCTGTTGATCCTGATGTCGTCGTTCCCGGTGCTCCCATGGCTACCATGGATGCTGTGAACATGGACAGCATTGACGTCAAGTTTGTTCATGAGCAGCCTGCTCAAGAAACAAAGGCTGATGACTCTGACCGAAGTACCTTTCTCAGAGACGTCTTTGGCGGAATGATCCAGGATATTCTTCCTGGACGCACGCTCAGCAAAAACTAAGAATCAAGCAAAAACATGAAAGGGACGATAGGGCGGGGTCTTGTTATGCCAGCTACTCATAAAGAGAGCTGATGATCTATTTAAGCGTTTTAATTTGTTTATGCGAAGCAAGGTGCGGTTGCATCAATTAATAGCCCGTTACAAGAGGCTCCTGTGGCTAAGAGCCATCCTTTT